CCATGGAGGGATAGGCAAGTTACGCGGATAATGTTTTTCAACATGGATGTGGTTTCGGATTTGACATGGGAAAAAATAATCAAATAAATGAGACTGGTTTTTCACGGGGGGAGGACTTGGGAACAAAATGCTGAAATAAATGAACTTGGGGTTGTCTCACATGGGAGTCGGTTTAGGATTACTGGGAAAAACCATCCAGGGGGATGGGATTAGGGTTTTATGCATAAGAACTGGTCAACATTGCCCCAGGGCTATTCCTACCTAAAATCCTGTCTCAATTTCCCGATATGGTTTGACATAGGATCCCAAGTGGGTTTCCCATGTGGTTGCCCATCATGGGGTATATTTTCAATAGTGGTTGGAAATAGCTTGGAATTGAAAAAGAGGATGGAAAGCCTGGAAATGGCAATGGCATGGAATTTGAACGAATTCCGTTTGGAATTTTTCCTGGGGTTATGAAAGATATTAAGAAAAATTTCATTCAGCATGTTATTTTTCTTTAAAAATGTTAAAATGCAATTTTATATAACCAAATAACAAAATTTTTCACAAATTGTGAGAAATGATTTTGCGCACTAATAACTACTTTTTAATTAGCGAGAAATATAAAAGAAAATATATTTTCATCGAGGTCATTTTCTTAGACGCCATTCAACTGCAAATTATTTATTAGTTAAGTTAATATTCACTATTACACATAAAGTATCTAGATAGTATATGCAGTGCACCGCAAAACTTCAATGTTTTTTAATTACGGCTGATTCTTCTGAAAGTGACATTTTTGATATCTCAATTATTTTATAAAATCTACTCTCTAATAATATTAGTACTATTTATCATAGTAAAATTTAGCACTTAGTTAGCATTAAAAAATAACAATTTTATTATTTAGTGAATTTATGCAATAGCTAAAATAATTTTCATCTACAAGTCTTTTTTAAAAATGTCTCCAATAGGACTTCTATAAAAAACTAGATTTTTATGGTTTATTTTCCCAAATCTTCTATGAAATTTTTAAAAATAGTGCCAGAAAATATAATTTTTTTTTATCATTATGTGCATTTAAAAATTTTTTTGATCTCCGTCTTACATTGTGATAAACAATGTTTAAATTTTGCCTTCAGTTTAACTTAAAATTACTTCACGATGATTAATACTGTTTTTTATCTTTAAAATATTCTAAAAAAAATGTGAATGCACATTAAAATAAAGTTTAATTGTTTTGATGTTTAATTTTTTCTATATATTATTTATAAGAAAGAGGAATATTATTGCTTTATATAAATATCAAATTTTACATATTGGCCCGAGTAAAATTCAAATAGAAAGACTTTAAATATTTCAAATTAATTTTGCGAACTTTAATAATTTAATTTAATTAAATAATTAATTAATAATTTAATAAAAAAAAATTTATATTTATTATTAAATATAATATTTATTAATTAATTAATTAAAATAAAAAATTAAAAAAAAATTAAAATTAAATTAAATTAAATAAACAAAAAATAAATAAAAAAAATAAAAAAAATAAATAATAATAATAAATATATAATAATAATAATATAATAATAATAATATAATATATATATAGATAATATAATATAATATAATATAATATAATAGAATATAATATTATTATAGATAATAATAAATTTTATTTAATAAATAAATTAAATTATTAAATTTAATTTATTAATTTTTTTTTTATTTTATATATTTTTTATTTATTTTTTTTTTTTAATTTAATTTAATTAAATTAATTTAATTTTTTTTTTTTTTTTTTAATTTTGCAACTTAATTCTTACTTTTGAGTATGTATGAAATAAAGTAGATTTCAATAGAAAAAACTACCTATATTATTTAAAAACAAATGAATTGAAAAATCGAATAATCAAAAGTATATTACTTTCAGAAAAATAAACATAAGAATGCATTGTTTTGTAAAATACTTGTTTTTGCATCACAAATAATTCCTAAATTTTTAACTGGAATTTTTAATATTTTTAACCTGGAAAAGCCTGAATTTTGAAATCCTAGATTTTGTGGCAACCATGTAATGCACTGAAGGAAAAATAGGAAAGTACAGACATAATTTAGGTTTATATTACTCATATAGTATTGCTGGAATAGAAACAGCCCACAGTTATAGGGTATTTCAACCATACCATTAAACTCGACGAAAATTTGTAAAGTACACTAACCTTTTAACCAGATTTGACATTAGTTTTTGTTCGTTCAGAAAATAGGTGCGTGTGTTCTGACATATATATTACAAATTATAGGTTGAAGTTTCATCATCTTTAAATTTCTCATTTAAACCTAATATGAGGTAAAAACAACATTTGGTTTTCTCAAAACTTGACAGAATTCATAAACATAACCAAATTCCTATCATACCAAAAACATTTCTTTCAGTGTGCATATTATCTAGATGTTACGGTTTAATATCTCAGATATATCTTTTTTTATATATTATTTATAAATAAATATAATAATTTATTTATTTTTTTATTATTTAAAATTTTTTTTAAGAGATATTATTTTCTCTCCAAATGATACGTAGATATATGTTTCATAAATTTATAAACCTTATAATACCAAGTGCATTATTTTTTTTTTGTAAAATTTCTCATTATAATTGATAAAAAATTAAAGACATAATAACAAGGTTTTTAAAAAAATTATTTCAATCATTTTTTTTAAATTATAGTTTTTTAAAAATTTAGTAAATTCATGGTACAAATTCTACAAAATCAATTACTTAGCTAATCTATTGCACACTTATTCAGTCCAGTTGTTTACTTACCTCAGAAGTAATAAGATACTTATTGTTAGAAAAAATAGACACCTATTCTGCTATACATTCGATCTCTCACGCACTCACACATTTAATCAATCAGTAAGTTTACAAGTCACTTATTCTGTAAATTAACTCACACTTACGTAACTCACTAATGTATTAACTCATTAATTCATTAACTCAGACACTTTCTCATATTATTAAAAAGTCCTATTCATCATGCATTCACTGACATACCCGTGTAGAAATTTCCTTATTTCTCCCTGCCTCTAGTGTGGCCTCCACTAGATTTCAACTAAAATCTATAATATATAAAAAGAAATCGGGTCCCTATAAAATTCTACTTAATAATAATTTGATTACGAAAACTAATTTTATTATGGATTAATTATTTAAATAAGAGTGAATAAAGAAAATTTTTTTAACCTAACACGACTTAAATACTTTTAATTATTGTTTATTATTATAATTAAATATTAATTTATTGTTAAATATATTAGTAACCAAATTCTTATATAATGACAACATAAATAACCTTAGAAATTGGGACATTTTTTTTTAATGCTTTGCTGTTTACCCTTCTGAATAATTTATAAAGAAATGAATAATTTTATAATAAATCGGTAAAACTAAGAATAATAATTTTTTAGAAGCTATAGAAGTTAACTAAAACTTTTAATTGAAACCCCACCTAAACGACCTTCAAAAACAGCTAGAGACTAACTATTTTTTCTAGTTCGGAATCTTTTTCAGACTGGTAAGCTAATGAATTCACCAACAATACCCTATCACCATTTCTACACGGGTATTCAATGAAGCCGAAAAAAAAGTTTATAGACAATTTTATTCTCAAATTATTAATATTTGTTTAATTTCTTGTTGGCATTGAAATTAGTACATTTAACATAATTTGTGCTTAAATGTTCTCCATAAAGTTTCATTTTTTAACATTATCGAAGTTTTTTTTTTTAAATTTGTTTGTAGTTTTTACTATTTCTAAAAACATTTTTTTTCTATTACTAATGTTTTTTATCATAATTATTTATGCGATAAATTTGTTTATTCGTTTTCCTTTTAATCAAAATTTAAGTAAAATTTTTATGTAACACGTTTATAACATTACTTTTTTGCAGGTAGCTAAATATTAAAAGTCAAGCGTAATGACAGTTTTTATAAGTAAGATAACAAATTACGAAATATTTTTATTGCAGAAAAATATTCAAGCTGACGTATGCATGCAAATAAAAGCAGCAATCATGAAAAATTTGAAAAGACATTTGATGTAAGTAAGTGTAATGAAGAATAACCGAAACAGATACAGGCGAAAAGAAAAAAATCGATAATAAATTACCAGAAGAGAAAGAAGTCGATAATAAAACATCCGAGAAGAAAGAAGTCAAAAACAAATCAGCCGAAAAGAAAATGCCCGCAAATAAGGCTGTTGAAAATAAGTCAGTCATAAAGAAAAAATTCGAAAACAAAACAGCCGAAAAGAAAGAAGTCGAAAACAAAACAGCCGAAAATGAAAAGTCGAAAATAAGTCTGCTAAAAAGAAAGATGTGGAAAACAAAACAGCTGAAAAGAAAAATGTCGAAAATAAAACAGCCGAAATGAAAAGTCGAAAGTAAGTCAGCTAAAAAGAAAGATGTCGAAAACGAAATAGCCGAAAATGAAAAAGTCGAAAGAAAGTCAGCCAAAAGAAAGATGTCGAAGACAAAACAGCCAAAAGAATGAAGTCAAAAATGAAAAAGTTGAAACACAAACAGCCGAAATGAAACATCCGAAAAGAAAGAGTCGAAACAAAACAGCAGAAAAAAGAAGTGGAAAATGAAAAGTTGTGAACAAAACAGCCGAAAATGAAAAGTCGAAAGTAAGTCAGCCAAAAAGAAAGATGTCGAAAACGAATAGCCGAAAATGAAAAGTCGAAAGAAAGTCAGCCAAAAAGAAAGATGTCGAAAAGATAACAGCCGAAAATGAAAAAGTCGAAAATAAGTCTGCTAAAAAGAAAGATGTCGAAAACAAAACAGCCGAAAAAAATGTCGAAAATAAAACAGCCGAAAATGAAAAATCGAAAGTAAGTCAGCTAAAAAGAAAGATGTCGAAGACAAAACAGCCAAAAAGAATGAGTCGAAAATGAAAAAGTTGAAAACAAAACAACCGAAAATGAAACAGCCGAAAAAAAGAAGTCGAAAACAAAACAGCAGAAAAGAAAAAAGTCGAAAATGAAAAAGTTGTAAACAAAACAGCCGAAAATGAAAAGTCGAAAGTAGAGTCAGCCAAAAGAAAGATGTCGAAAACGAAATAGCCGAAAATGAAAAAGTCGAAAGAAAGTCAGCCACAAAGAAAGATGTCGAAGACAAAACCCCAAAAAGAATGAAGTCAAAAATGAAAAAGTTGAAAACCAACAGCCGAAAATGAAACATCCGAAAAGAAAGAAGTCGAAAAAACAAAACAGCCGAAAATGAAAAAGTCGAAAATAAGTCTGCTAAAAAGAAAGATGTGGAAAACAAAACAGCTGAAAAGAAAAATGTCGAAAATAAAACAGCCGAAAATGAAAAAGTCGAAAGTAAGTCAGCTAAAAAGAAAGATGTCGAAAACGAAATAGCCGAAAATGAAAAAGTCGAAAGAAAGTCAGCCAAAAAGAAAGATGTCGAAGACAAAACAGCCAAAAAGAATGAAGTCAAAAATGAAAAAGTTGAAACAAAACAGCCGAAAATGAAACATCCGAAAAGAAAGAAGTCGAAAACAAAACAGCAGAAAAGAAAAAAAGTGGAAAATGAAAAAGTTGTGAACAAAACAGCCGAAAATGAAAAGTCGAAAGTAAGTCACCCAAAAAGAAAGATGTCGAAACGAAATAGCCGAAAATGAAAAAGTCGAAAGAAAGTCTGCTAAAAAGAAAGATGTGGAAAACAAAACAGCTGAAAAGAAAAATGTCGAAAATAAAACAGCCGAAATGAAAAGTCGAAAGTAAGTCAGCTAAAAAAAAGATGTCGAAAACGAAATAGCCGAAAATGAAAAAGTCGAAAGAAAGTCAGCCAAAAAGAAAGATGTGTCGAAGACAAAACAGCCAAAAAGAATGAAGTCAAAAATGAAAAAGTTGAAAACAAAACAGCCGAAAGATGAAACATCCGAAAGAAAGAAGTCGAAAACAAAACAGCAGAAAAGAAAAAAGTGGAAAATGAAAAAGTTGTGAACAAACAGCCGAAAATGAAAAAGTCGAAAGTAAGTCAGCCAAAAGAGAAAGATGTCGAAAACGAAATAGCCGAAAATGAAAAGTCGAAAGAAAAGTCAGCCAAAAAAGAAAGATGTCGAAAAGATAACAGCCGAAAATGAAAAACAAAATAAGTCTGCTAAAAGAAAGATGTCGAAAACAAAACAGCCGAAAAGAAAAATGTCGAAAATAAAACAGCCGAAAATGAAAAAATGAAAAAGTAAGTCAAAAAAGAGATGTCGAAGACAAAACAGCCAAAAAGAATGAAGTCGAAAATGAAAAAGTTGAAAACAAAACAACCGAAAATGAAACAGCCGAAAAGAAAGAAGTCGAAAACAAAACAGCAGAAAAGAAAAAGTCGAAAATGAAAAAGTTGTAAAACAAAACAGCCGAAAATGAAAAAATTGAAAGTCAGCCAAAAGAAGATGTCGAAAACGAAATAGCCGAAAAGAAAAAGTCAAAAACAAAATAACCGAAAATTACAAGTCTAAAAATAAGTCTCCGCCGAAAAGAAAGAAGTCGAAAATAAAAAACTGGAAAATAAAGTCGACAAAAATATGTTGAAACTAAAACATTAAAATATAAAGAAATCGAAAATAAATCACCCAAAAAGAGAAAAGTTAACAAAAAAAACAGCCGAAAATGAAACTGCCGATCACAAAAATATCGAAAACAAAAAAGTTGAAAATATGTCAGCCGACATAAAGAAAGTCGAGAAAGTAGAAACAAAAGTAAAAGAAAAAATTGAAATTGAAGAGGAAAGAAGAAACAGTGATGCTGAAATGTACAAATTGGAAAATAATATAAATATAAATTACGAATATCAAACGGAGATGGAAATTGTTTGTTCAGAAGTGTATCATACGCTCTTTATGACAATGAAGAAAGGCATGTAGAAATAAGATCAGAAATTGTAGATCACATAACAGAAAATTGGGCACAGATGAACGAAATAATAAACGGATATAGAGTTTCCGCTGAAGTAAAGAGTAACGAAAAGCCAAAGAGCCGTACAATAATGCTGGAGAATATGCCGAACAATGAAAACAGATGGAGAATATGGCACTGATATAGAAATATCTCAAATTCCTGATATTTACAAAAGGCGGTTAACTTATATCAATTAAAATGATGAACTGCCATCAAGAAAAATGAAATTGAAGGACGTCAACTTAATCTAATGTGGACTATAAATTCATCCAGCGAAAATTTAGTTGCCAAAGAAGATATAAATTGTTATTTTCTAATAGTCGAAATAAATGGTCACTTTGACAATTTAAAAAATAATTCCGAACAAAAATATACGAAATGAAAATAGTCGAAAATAAAAAGTCAAAAATAGAAGTTGAATAAATCATCCACAAAGGAAAAAGTCGAAAAGAAAACAGCCGAAAAGAAAAAAGTCAAAAATAAGTCTGCTGTAAAGAAAGTTAAAAATGACTTAGTTGATAACAAATTAGCTGAAAATAATAAATGTAGAAAAAATAAGAAGTAAATGAAAATAACAGTCAAACATTAAAAATTGAAATGATAAATATTAAAAAGAAATTATTAACACTGATCACGTTAACAATTTAAAACAATTTTGAAACAAGATGAAAGTGAAATATACATTAGTACCAGTAGAAGATTTAATCATCTTAAAGAAGAGAAGTTATCAAAGAGATTAACGGTTAATTGTCACCCAATAATGTAATAAGAGAAAATTTATTAACATTGAAAACGATGAAAATAATACAGATGAAATGAAAAAGATTAAAATGAATAATAACGAAAAGAAGTGCATTGAGGGGAAAATGAACACAAATTAGTGAAATGACAAATGCATTGAAGGGGAAAATGAAACCATAATTAGTAAAAATGAAAATGACAAAATGAAGAACAGTTGAACTTAAAAGTTATAAAGATGAAATTAATGATATAAAAATTGATGAAATAAAGAAGCAAGAAATGTAGATATAATATTTTTAAATGAACGAAATGATACTAATTTTGGTAGTGTGTGGAAATGGTATGAATAATAATGACATAAAAAAGATGCATTAAAAATGAATATGAACCGACTAACTGTAATGATTTGAATGAAATTGAAAATAGTAAACTTCAATCTGAATTTGACACATGATGAAAATGCCAAAAATACAAATAAAGCGACAATAATGAAGAAGTTTGGAACGATATATATGAATTTGAAAGTGAAAAAGAAACTGAAAAAATAGAGTCTTTTCATGAATATTTACGAGATACTAACACTACATCAACTGAAAAGAAATTTATAGAAGAAAATTTTAGCATTAACAACAAAATGTCAAGACAGTGTCAAATGATAAATTGTATTTAATATGTCGTGCAATTAAGTAAAAATGTAATTAGATGCAAAAAAAGAAGTTTCTGAACTTAGTAGTGATGTTAGTTATAGTGCCATAGATAGTAAAGTAACAGTATTGGAGAAGGAAATGTAAAAATTGAATGTAATACGAAAAAGAAACCCAATGTTCAGATATTGAAATGAAATAAAAAAAAAAATATATTCTAAAACTGTTAGCAGTATAAAAAAATATTATTGTCAAAAAAATTCTGATATTTCTGATTATAGTAGTGAGTACATCAGTACGATAATAATAGTTCGGATATTGAAATAGAAAACGACTCGAAAAGTAGCTGTGAAGATAATAATAGTACAAGCAAAAGGAATAAGGAAAGAAAATTTTAAAAATGAAGATGTTAAATGTGAAAAAGAAAAGATATAAAATAATTAAAATATCATATGAATATGGACAGGCATATTTTATGACACAAAAAGTGGCTGACGGTGACAAGATAGACTTTAGCACACTTAGATATGAAATTCATGTAATACAGTTAATAATTTCAATGTACATGCCCATTAAGATTTTATGGCGGTATTAGACCAAATGAAGGAAGTCACTTTGTTGGATACGCTCATGCCCGCATCCAAATTGTGGTAGAAAATTTAGATTTGATATATTTGAAATAGATTCAAGTATTATATCAGTTACAATGTATGCAAATGAAACAAGAGCTAAAATCACATACATCAGCATTGATTCCATATTACAAGTACGAGGACCAAAACGAACAGCAGTTAGGACATTATTGAAGTATAGCAAAGCCAGAAAGTTCATTTAGAAAATAATGCACAATGCGATGTATCATTAGCAAAGAAGATGGAAATGTGGGTTTAGCAATGAAGATGCATGTTGTTTAATATAAAAATCAGAATTAAGAATCGAAGATAAACTGGAATGCAAATCACGCGATATTATGATATTGCACAATATTGGATTGATCAACATAAATTAAAAAATCCAGCCGTGAGATTATTTCAATTACCATGAAAATTTTAATTTGGGTAAAAGACCAGTTACAGGCTTTTATTGATGGCAAAGGAAAAATAGTTCATTTTGATTGACACGAAAGCATGTGTAGAAAATCGAACATGTAGATACTAAAATGATATGTATTATACTTTAGTATGGAGAGGTCGTGAATCAACTATTCCTTTATTGGAATCAATTCGGATAATCATGATATTCCATCTGTTGAAATAACTTTAAATTATACAAAAACTTCGTACATAAGACAATTAATTATTGGCCACCATTTAAAGCAGTAGTTCTAGATTGGAGTTGGGTGTTTATGAATAGCTTTTTATTTGAATGGAACGAAGGAATGACTATGACAGAAGATATTTAGAGGAGACTTATGCTATATTGACAAGAAAAAAATTGAAACGGTCAGATCTTATAGTCTACTATCTTGCAATGCCCATATTATAAGAAGATTTCTAAAAGTATTAAAGAAAGAATTAAACCTAAGCGAATCGCAAATAAAGTTTTTATTAGAATGTTTTGCACAATTAATATTATGTAGAACATTAGACGAACTAAGTTTAACTTTTGAGCAAATATTGAATGTAACGCTCGAAAGACGAAGAAAAAGCTAATGACAGTCTAATTTACCTATCTGGAATGAATAAGAAAAAAAAAAAGGAAGTTATGACAAATGATGGAAAATGTACTAGATGATGAAGAATAGATGAATGAATGAAAACTTTCTTGACATGCATAAAAATTCAAAAAACTATTTGTGAAAGAGCCCATTTTACGAACATTTTGGAAAATATTAATGCGTAAAGAAAATAACTATACAAATAGTGATGAAGATATTACTAATGATTATTACGTAATAGAATTTGGTCGATATGTAGTTAAAACATTTTTATCATATGCACCATTAATTGGAGCTTTAATGATACCGTTTGTGGACGACAGTGTTTCACGTGTTAGTAACGCATTTGCTGAATCGTATATAAATACGTACAAGCATACAATACTTCAACTTCCAAAAGACAATGCTATTGGAGAAATAGTAAGAGAAGTAGTAAATATAATAAAGGATTAATTGTAGAAGAGATATTAGATATACATGCTAAAAGCACGATAGCAGTTCAAAAAAGACCACATTACCCAGAGGCTGCCTCAAATCCGTTTGAAATTGAAAAATGGGGAAGAAGTAAAAAGGAAATAGAAAAGCAAAGTGTGAAACCAAGAAAACATACATGTTATGAAGGCAGAGAACTTGTGAGTATTGGCCAAAAAATTGTCAACAGAAGAAATAATTTAAAGAATAAAAATAAAAGAAATTCAAGAATTCAAAAGAGAAATACTAAACCAAAACAAATAAAAATTCAAACTTATCTGCCAAAATGAAATTAAAGGTTTTAACATTTTAAAACCCAAGAAAGTAGTAGAAAAAAATAATAAAAATATAAATGAGAAGGTTATAAAACAGGAGAAAGAAAAGTTATTGTTAGAAAACGTAGATAATTTCACAATTGAATATAGAAATGAAGATTTATTGTCAGAAAATGTAGATAATTCTGAAATTGAATATGAAAAAGAAGAACAATTGAATATCAGTGATGCAAATACATGTACGATTGAAAATGACAATGAAAAATTGAACAAAGATAATGAAACAATACTTAGGAAAACACATGAAATAAAAATAATATAGATATTTTACCAAACGGACTTATAAATAGTGTATGCATTATGTAACATCGTCCTCTGAAAGTATAAAAATTGGTATATACGAACCAAATACAAATATAACGCTTGTTTTGAAGGAATTTCAAATGTCAGCAAAACAATTTTCACCAGTTGTCCGTAAGTTACAATGGATAGATTCCACAATTGTAGACTGTTTTACAACAACACATATGAACTCATGACAAACAAGGAAGTAACTTACATGCCAACAGATATTGCAAATAAAGCTATCGGCAGTTATGCTACAGTAAGAAAAAGTCCACTATCGGAATTGTATACAATAAAGACTCCAATTAACAAATATGACTTATGCCTTACATGTTCGACGGACATTGCAGTCTGTTATGTGTAGACACAGAAATTATATATATACATTATTAGATCCATACGAAAATTCAATTGATGAAGGAAGAGCCATAAAAGAGTTCAAAATTACATAAATTCATGTAAGCATGAAAGTACTTTAAGCTTCTTAAAAAAATTAATTTTGAAGAAAAAATTGAAATGAATAGACCGTTTCAATCAAAAACAGATACAAGTAATTGTGCTATATACGTAATGTATTATATATACTGCATCGCCAATAATATATCATTTAATAAAGAATTTAATCCGGAAAAATATAGAAAACATGTTGCTAAAACTTTAATATTACAATCAAAAGATATAAAAGACAGATGTATGTACTGCTTTAGTAAAACACATCTAAAAATGATAATGAAAACATGTTGTGTTTGCAATAGATGGATACATGCCAACTGCTACGCAAAAGGAAAAAAAAATACAGAGGATGAAGAAGATCGCAGTTTGCCAACATTTAAAAGAAAAAGAAAAAATATTGGGACAATAAATGATGAAACAATAAATAGAAATTTCGCAAAAAGTAAAGAACCATTCGAATGCAAACTTTGTTCTAGAATTAGTGACGTTAAAAGAATAAAATTAAGTGATTAAAATATCTTTATCAAAATGATACATTAAACAAGTTGTAAAACAAATCATTTAAAAAACATGATACAAATTTATTAATAAGATGAGGAAATAATTCGAAAAATTAATTTGTTAATTGTTATACGTAATTACAATAATATCAAATATAAGATGAAAAATAATATATAAAAAAGCATAACAATGTATCTGTTGAACGCAATTTTAAAACATTTCAAATCTATTATACATTTAAGAAAAATAAAGAAAATGTATTACATGTTGTTAAAAAAAGTTGTTTACAATAATAAATAAGAAAACAATGCATTTCAAAGACCATTTTCCAACCTTCTCGCGGTGAAATGCGTAAGTAGGCTATACGCATAGCCGAAACCAATGGAAAATGGCAAGAAATAAATAAATAATAAATAAAGAAATAAATAAAATTACTATGCAATCAAATAAAGTGATCACTTAGTCTTTTCATTACTCTAATTACTGCCATTAAGCTTTAAAAAATAATTTTTTTTGCAGAAGGATATACTATTTTTTAAATTCTAAATGAATAAATAAACAAATATGAATTTTTTTCATGGATTTTCATCGCTTCAAAGCTTGAAAAAATATCTGTTTTAAAGTTTTTGAAAAAATTTTTTTCTGACAAACTTTCTTATTATTTTTTTATTCTGCATAAAAAAATAAACAAATTTACTGCACTGAGAAAATTTTGGGGACAATGCTGCTCCGGTAGGTGACACTACTGCGTTAAATCAAGAGCTGGAGCGCAACTTTACCTACGATTCGCAGCCGCCCGGAAAAAAAGTAAGAAACTGTTCTCATGGACTTTACTCCGTGCTCATGGAACTGATCCTTACCTTTCCAAAGTCAGAATCAGCCCCGTGAGGAGTACATGCTGCCTTTTGCGGAGCGGCTGCGAATCGTGGACAGAGAGTGCCAGCGACTCTTATGAAATTCCGCAGCGTCCCCAAAATTTTCTCAGTGTGTAGATAATTTTTAAATAAAATATAGACATCATAAATTTTTTCATGTTCGAATTTTTTAAAAAAAAATACTGTTTATTACTTTGAAATTTGAAAAATGGAGATTTTACTGTTAAGGACCAGTTATTTTGACAAAGTCTAAAATTTTCAAGTTTTTCGAAGGTATACTTACAATTCTTTTAATTCTTTATAACTGAATTAAGAAATTGTTAATACAACATTTCGAAATAAAACTGGATTTTCTTTGATTTTTTTGGCATACAAGTGTGAGAAAATAGCGTTTTTACCGACTGCAGGTGTTCGAATACAGATTGTGGCAATACGAATTTTACTTAGCGCGATCAGTGTAATTTGTGCAAGAGCGCAAAACCTGTGGGAATGGGAGGTGGTGGAGGAGTTCACGGTGGAAGAGGTGGCGGTGGCGGATTCCGAGGAGGAGATCGCGGAGGTCGTAGAGATATGGGCGGAAGAGGTGGTGACCGAGGTGATCGTGGAGGAGACCGAGGAGGTCGCGAAAGCTGCAGAGGAAATGTACACAGAAGCTGAAGAGGTACAATGAGAGGCACATTAGGAGAAAGATATCGCGATCGTCAACGACCCTATTAACTCTCCACGAATAAAGATAATGCAGTCGCGTAAAATTTTGTATAGCATGTATGTTTTTGAAATGACACAAACATGTACGGTGTTTTTTGTGTTTAATTGAAAAAATGTTTGTACTTGCAATATTAATTGACTAGTGTAAAAACAATCATTAAATAATTTTTAAAGTCTTAACAGTAAATTTTTTAATTTTTGATTTTTTAAAAGTTTTGTCAGTCATTGTCATCAAATACGAATTAAATTAAAATACGACTGTTAACGTAAATAATATTTGACAAATTAGTTGGATTAAGTTTGGAAAATAATTTGAAAGATATGTCTCAAAATCAGCATTATTATGTTGTGTAATATTTTTCAAAACTAGATTTGAACACTTAGCTGTGTAAAAAAATATCTACAAATAAACAATTTAATACAAAATTTTGAAATAAAATCCGACATTCGTAGTTTTTTTCAGATTTAAATTTTGAGAAAATAGCGTTTTCATCATTCATTATGATTTTTTACCTTTTCAAAGTTCCTGACCATTTTTTTTCTATTTCTTGTAATTGAATAAATAATTTACTAATACAAAAGTTTGAAATAAAACTTAGTCTTATTTGTCTTTTCTTGAATTTAATTTAGAAAAAAATGATTTCACAGTTTTCGGACCGTTTTTTGAAAAATCGCATATTAAATATAAAATATAAACTTTTAATTGTTTTTTATTCTAAGTTTGAATAATAGCCATTTTCACAAATTTTGTCCGTTTTTTGGAAAAATATAATTATTGAATTAAGCATAATTATCTAAACAAATAATATTTTTGAATCAAAGCAGCAAATATTTTCTGTATTTTGGAATTAAGCTTACAAAATAATTTTAATTAAACAACATTACTCAAATTTATTTTTCTTTTGAATTAAGTATAATGTTTTCTCAGTGAAGTAAAATTCTTTGCAGAAATTCAATAAAAAATTTTAAAAAATAAAAAAAACTCTTTAAAATTTCAATTATCTATAGAAATAATTAAATTCTTCGCAAAATTTAAATAAAATTATTTGCAAAATTACAATTATTTTCAAAAATTTTTCTCAAATCTAAAATTTTCAATAATAAGTTTTTGTCACAAATCTTTAATTTTGTTTCTTCCAGACTTTTCCCTGATTTCCAGACAAAATTTTCATTCTTTCCTTGACCCTGAAGAACATCAATGACTTCTTTTTTTTTAGGAAGCGTTCATAAATGATGGCACGTAATTTTTCGGAATTTTAAACCCCCCCCCCCCCCCCGTCACGCAATTTCTCATGTAAAAATACATTGTGTCACGTTTAGTAGAAACTCCCTCCTACCCCAAAAAACGTGACATAATAAATTTAAGATGACAAAGTGATAAAATCATTATTTTATATAATAAGAATATTGCAACTGCAAATTAAAATTTTCAAATATTTCAATTGGAACCCTTTTCAAAATTCGTTTATTTCTAGAAATTCACTCAATAAATCGTCTAATATTCAATTATTATCTAAAATTTTATCTGAAATTCATATTTTAATAAATTGTTATTCGATAATTCAATTATTTACATATTAAAACTAAATAATGTATTCGATAATAGAATATTTCTGAAAATTAAATTTTTATGAAGAATTTTATCAAAAGTTTAAAAAATAATTGGATTCTTTCGGTGTATTTAAAAAAAAGTTTAAAATATAATATACCAACAGTTTTGAACGTTGAAATGAAGGACGATATTGTTATTGCTTTTTTAATTTTTATTTCATTTATAAAAATTTGTTTTGTATAATTTAAAACCTAATTTTTAACTAAATTTAATGTTCAATTAAAAATATTTTTCATCTAAATTTAGTCATTTTTAAAAATATTGGAGCATAAAAAATATTTTGTTCCTTTAAACGTTCATAAATGTAGGAAAATCTCAACAAGGTTATAGTAGTTGAATATTTGGACCAAATTTTTTTCAGTGTATTGAAAATAATTGAACGGTATAGAAAATTGTATTAAAATTGAAATTTTATTAACTAAATATTGTAAAGAATTTGGTTAACATTTGTTTAAATAATAGAATTTTTAAAATAATTTTATTTAAATATTTCGAATTAATTAAATTTTTCAGAAATATTTTTTTCAATTCTCTGAATATATTTGAATTCTTTAGAGAAATTTTATTCAAAAAATAAAATTATTAAATTGTTGCGAAGAAATATATAAAAAATTTGTATGTATTTGAATTTCTGTGAATTTGTAATCAAAATTTTGTTTAAATAAAAAAATTTGTAAAATTTTATTAAAATAATATATATTAAAAAAAATTGAAAAAAGGCAAACTTTTGAAATGTTGTCAAGAATTTTATTACATTTTTTGAAAATAATTGAATTTTTGAGAAAAATTTTATAATTTATAGAAATAATTAAAATTTTGACAAAAGTTTAAAAAAAACTTTTGGAAATAATTTAATTTATACGAAGAAGTTCATCACTTTTGAAAATAATTAAATTTCTCTAATCATTTGTTCTTAAAATTGATATTTTAATTCATTAAAAATTGATATTTTTTAAAATTTCAAATTGAAACCTTTGAAGTTCATCTATTTATGAAGATTGTAAATGCAACTCTTAAGAAATACTCTTAAAAAAATATAAAAAAATATAAAAAAATAAAAACAAAAAAAAAATTAAATAAATAATAAAATCCTCTTTAAAATTTTTAAATTTCTTAGTAAAATTATTCATTAAATAATTTATTTTATTATATAGTTGCTCAAGATTTATGTTGTTTAGAAAGAAATTATTGGCAGAAATAGAAAAAATTGAAAGGTTTGTATTAGAATTCTGGTCAATTTCATAGTTTATGAGGCAAACAAAAAAAAAATTCAGAATGTTCTTATAAATTCTAAAAATTTAATTTTTTCTAGTACTCTTAATAAAAATTCCTAACTTTTCCCTGATTTCCCTGACCAATTCTAATTTTGCTGACTTTTCCCTGAATTCACTAACTTGTGGCAACCCTGAATATCTACTATTTTAATAAAATTTTTCAAAACAATTTATAATATTAAAAACATTATAGCATGAATTTTTATAAATAATTAAATTTTTAAAAGGTTTAAAATAAAAATCTTTCAAAATTTGAATTATTCATCCTTTTAAATGATAATTCTGTAGAATTAATTGTTTTGAAATAATTTGATTTATTTTTTTAATTACATCAATTATTTATTTTTTACATTTTTATTTAAAAAATTTCAAAACAATCAAAATTTCTTAAAATTTAATTATTAAGAAATGGACGATAAATAATTGATAAATAAATTTTTTTGAAGGTTTTAATAAAATTTTTGAAAAAATACTTTTATTTTTTGATGAATTTACTTAAAATTGTATAAAAAATAATTGAAATCCTGTCAAAAATTTTATTATTAATGAAATAATTTAAAATGATTAACAGAATTTGTTCAATTCCATTATTAAAATACTAAAAATATCTGTATGCAGATTAATATTTTCGCTTATAAGACTCTTATTTAGAATATTTCGAAATAAAATTTAATTAAAATTGTATAAGAACAGATAATATTTATTATTTGTCACCTTCAAGTAAGTTACTGACGGTCACTGAAATCGTCGACTGAGGTTTGGTTTATTCCAGAAGTTAGTAATCTCCAATAGTTGTAGAGAGGAAGACGTGTGAAATTAAATTGAAAAGTAAGTACATTTATTTAAATTCTAAAATTATTTCCACAGTAGTTTTTGAAAAATAATAAATATAAAAAAATTATTAAATGTTTTATAAATATAAAAATAATTAAAAAAATAATATATTTCTTTTAATAAAAATTTTTTTTTTCAAAAATAGTATAATTATTTTTCATAAATAAAATTATTATCAAAAATAATTTTTTTAAAACTTTATTGAATTTTTCCGAAGAATTTTATAACTTATGAAATCAATTGAATTTTTGCGTAGAATTTTATTTAATTTTTTCTAATTTGGGAAAATATATATAAATATTAGATACAAAAAAAAAAATTAAATATCGATAAATTTTTTTGTTAAATAATATTCCATTCTTGATAAGAATTTAATAAAAATGAATAATTGATGTTTTTCTAAAAAATTTATGAATTATTATATTTTAAGTAATTGGATTCTTATAAAAATGTATTATTTCTCTTAATAATTAAATTTTTACAAAGAATTATTGTATAAAATGTTTTTTAAATAATTGAACTTTTTTAGAAAATTTTTATCTAATTAATAAATATTGAAAAAATTGAAGTTTAAAAAACTTTTTAAATTAATAATTGTGAATCGTTGAAAAAATTTAATTTAAATTTGTTGCATTGTTTCTAATAATTTTATTTGGATGTTAAAGATTAACAGGGTTGCAACAAATATTTAATTTTATTTTCCCCTGATTTTCCCTGACCCAAAAATATATTCTGATTCACTCTAAAAATTATTAGATACTCAAAAAATGTTCCATTACATTTATTTACAAATTTCTATAATTTTAAAATTATTCAAAAAAATCAATAACTTCTTTTTTAAATAAATATTTAATCATTATTATTATTGTTCTGTAGAAATTAAAATTTTTTAAACATTCAAGTTCAAACATTTTGGAAATTCAACAACTTATAAGATAATAATTTCAATTACCATAAAATTCGTTGCAATAATTAAATTATTTTCATAAATAATAAATCGATTATTCGGTAATTCATTTTTAAATCAATTTTTATTAGAAAATTCTAATAGAATTCAATTATTTAAATACAAAAGTAAATAATTTTCAAATAATTGAATGTTTGTTAAAATTGAATTCTCATAAAGAATTTTACCAACCTGACTTCCCTGACCTGTGCCAACCCTGATTAAATTTAAAAAAACAATTTAATTATACATAATATAAAAATAATTATACATCTTACAAAAATTTTATTGTACTTTAAAAAAAATTAAATTTCTTTTAATAATTATCTATTAATAAATTGAAAATATTCGGAACATTTAAAAAAAGTTAACAGAATATTAAAAACAATTAAATTATTTCTTTAAATTCTTTTCAAAACAATTTGCATAAAATTATCTAATGTTTATTAAAATTATTATTTTTATGAATGATAAAATTTTCAAAGAAATTAAATTATTTCCAAATACTTTAATCAGATTCTTTATCAAGTTTTATTTTATTATATTTTTTATATTTATTTATTTTTATTATTTAAATTTTATAATATTCATATTTTTACTTAAATAATTGAATTTTCACAGAAGTTTCTAATAAAAATTGATTTGAAATTGAAAATCAGTAAAAATTTTATGTGTAGGTATATTGAATTTTATCCTAAATTTCATTGAAATGAATATTAAAAAATAAATAAATTAAACAAGATTTTTAAATTTAAAATATTTAAAAATTATTATATATTATATATTATTATATTATATATATTATTATATATTATATTATTATTATATATTATTATTTTTATTTTGCGTAATTTTAAGGGCATTTGAACCTTGATGACGTTTCAATTTGTGCAAAGCATGTGTGACGTCATCAAGGTTCAAATGCCCTTAATAACATTAAAATATTTATCTTAAAAAATGGATTATATTTTTAAAAAGCTATTATTATTTATAAAATAAATGTATTATAAACCTTGTAATTATTAAAAATTAAATTTTTTTAAATAGATGAGCGATCAAGAATCCCACAATTCATCTTCAGAAGATGCAAAGACTCTAGAAATAAAAAGGCTAAAAAGAGAATTAAAAATTCTAAAAAAGCAGAATGCTGCAAAGCAAAGCGAGAATACTTCAAGCGATGAAGGTAAAACTGTTACTTAATTTCATTTTTAAATAATCAAAGAGAAAACGACTTATTTCATTCAAACATATTTTATTTGAATCAAACTTAGAAAATCTTTGATACACAGTCAAGCATATTTAAGTTTAATTGAAACATATATGAGGCATTTTACGTGAAATGTCCTAAGTTAAAAATTCAACTTCTTGAAAAAATTTGAAACTCGAGGAATTTGTTGTTCTATTAAGTAGAAATGTGACCCAAAAAATATTTTTGATTTTTTCGAAAAATTGGAGAGGGTAGAGGGGGGTCAATTTGACCAATTTTGCCAACATCGGCAACTTTGTGAATTTTTTCTGAACGTACTTGTAATGGGAAAAATTTTTTAGAATATGTTTCTGAAAGGTTTTTTCGTCCTCTTTCCAATGGTGTATTTTATTTTTTAATATTTTGAAAAATTACCCTAATTTTTGATAATTTATATTTAATTTTCAATTTCCCAAAAATCGGTCCGTTTTTTTTGAAAATAAATTATTGCAAACGAAAGCTGAGGTTTTTTCCTATCGGCATGTAAATTTTCAGAATGCCCTTTTTTTTTGTTTTTGAGTTATTGAATTTCAAAGAATAAATTGCGGCGCGCGGCGTCCCGGGCGCCTCGTCTCACGCCGTTTGCCATGGGTTGCCACGCGGCTCAGTGCAACCGCGACGCTGCGCGCCGCAATTTATTCTTTGAAATTCAATAACTCAAAAACAAAAAAAAAGGGCATTCTGAAAATTTACATGCCGATAGGAAAAAACCTCAGCTTTCGTTTGCAATAATTTATTTTCAAAAAAAACGGACCGATTTTTGGGAAATTGAAAATTAAATATAAATTATCAAAAATTAGGGTAAATTTTTAAAATATTAAAAAATAAAATACACCATTGGAAAGAGGACGAAAAAACCTTTCAGAAACATATTCTAAAAAATTTTTCCCATTACAAGTACGTTCAGAAAAAATTCACAAAGTTGCCGATGTTGGCAAAATTGGTCAAATTGACCCCCCTCTACCCTCTCCAATTTTTCGAAAAAATCAAAAATATTTTTTGGGTCACATTTCTACTTGATAGAACAACAAATTCCTCGAGTTTCAAATTTTTTCAAGAAGTTGAATTTTCAACTTAGGACATTTCACGTAAAATGCCTCATATTTGGTTTATTTAAAGAAATAATATATTTAATTCATACATAAGTTATGGTTGATTTTAAATTATTTATAATCAACTTTTAAGTTTGATTCAAACATAAAATTTTTAAATATAATTTTTGTTGAAATTAAAACACAAAATATATTTTATTTAAGCATAATTATTCAAACAAATAATATTTTTGAATCAAAGCAGTAAATATTTTCTATATATTTTGGGATTAAGATTACAAACTACTCTCTAAATCTGAATAAGTGAAAAAAAATAATTATTTATTTAATAAAAAATTATTAAAATTTGAAAAATTTAAAATAACGGGCCATTCTAGTATCACGTAAGCATATTTTTGAGGATTTTAGACACACCCTCCCCCCTCATAGTTTTTTATATCCAGTAGCGCCATTTTTTCGATTGTAGGACAAAAGTTCCAGTTTAAAAGTTCCAAACCAGAAGTTCCAATCCAAAAGTTCCAATATACAAAATGTCCAATTTAAAAAAGTTCCAAAGTAGAAAAGTTCCAAAATAATAATTTCCAATATAAATAATTTCCAAATATGAAAATATCAAAGTACACAAGTACAAAAGTAAGCTTTCGATCTGCATTAATTTTTTCACAATTTCACTCCAAAGTTAGAAGCTTTGGCAAAAAAAGTACAAAAGAAATCAAATCTAAAGAACTTTTCTTAAAATTAATCAAATTCGTTTGACACTCGTTACTTTGGAGTCGTTTTTCTCGAAATCTTTTTTTCGAACCGTAGGTCTCTTTTAACTTTCCCTGGCACATATTTAAAAATAAATATAAAAATTTAATATATATATAAATAAATAATGCAAATATTTATAATAAATAATAAAATAATAAAAAAATAATTAAAAGGTTAAATTAAATTAAGAAAATTAAAAGGTTATATTATAGCTACATGTAAACAAAATATTAGAATGCAGTAAATACAAAAAAAAGTTTTTAAACTCGTAGTTTGAATTTTACAAAAAATGTTGGACATTTTGATATTTAGAAATAAAAATAATTGGAACTTTTGGCTTTTGGAAGAAAGAATTATTGGAACTTTTGGACTTTGGAACAAATAATTATTGGAACTTTTGGCCTTTGGAACAAAGAATTATTGGAACTTTTTTTCTCTGGAACATTTTTTTTGGAACTTTTGTCCTCCAACCATTTTTTCTAATGGATGTAAGCAATAGCTAGACCCCCCTCCCCCTTAAATGCTTACGTAATACTTGAACGGTCCCTAAATTTTTAATCCAAAACAATTTTTAAATAATATATAACAATAATTTACAGATGACGCCGCCAAAATAAAAAAGATCAATAAGAAGACGTCTCCAATAAAAAAAACGTCTCCAATAAAAAGAAAAAAAAAATTGGAATTAATTGAAAGTAATTATGTTTGCAAATTTGAAAATAATTTTAAAATATTAATATTATCAGGGTTGCCACAGGTTAGGCAAGTCAGGGAAGTCAGGGAAAATCCGGCTAAAGCTAGCAGTCGCGCTCAGCACCCTCCCATAGATTTTTTTTAGTAAATTTGAAATAAAAAAAATTTGAGGGGTAAGAAAACGTTGCAACTTTAGAAAATTGTAGTTTATACATCAGTGATGAATTTTTAAAAATTAAACAAACAAAATTGTTATAAACAATAGCCAGCACCTAGTTTTGTAAACAAATTGCCTATGGGAGGGTGCTGAACGCGACTGCTAGCTTCAGCCGGCTGGGAAAAGTCAGGGATTTTCACTAAAAGTACTGGAAAAAATTGAATTTTTAAAATTCATGAAAAAACTCTGAATTTTTTTCCTTTTTGCCTCGTAAATTATGAAATTACCTCGAATTTTAATACAAAACTTTCAATTTTTTCAATTTCTGACAATAATTTCTTTTTAAATAACTTAATTTTTCAAAAAATATCATAAAATTATGACTTACAAATTATTTTATAAATAATTTTTACAATTTTCATAAATACTAGATTAATAGAAGAATTTCAGTTAAAAATACTAAAAAAAATTGGATTTTGGAAAAGTTACAAATGATTACAGAAATTCAATTATTTTCAAAAGTTACAAAAATTCTTCGCAAAATTTCAATTATGTTCAAAAATTAAAAAAAAAAATCTCGTCAAGATTTCAATTATCTTTATAAATAATAAAATTCTTCATCGAAATTCAATTATTTTTAAAAATTTTAATAAAATTCTTGTCAAAATTCCACAGGAATTGAATTATTCAATATTTAATAAATTTCTTTGAAATAATTCAATTATTTTCATAATAGTAATAAAATTTTCACAGGAATTAAATTATTTAAAATACAAAATTTCATAAAATTTTTCGAAAAATATCAATTACATAAAAAGATTTTTATAAAATATTTTCATAAATTCAATTATTTTTATAAATAATAAAATTCTTCACCGAAATTAAATTATTCTTATAAACTTGAATAAAATTCGTTGTAAGAATTCAATTATTTATATAAATAATAAAATTTGTCTCTGACATTTAATTATTTTATGAAAATTTTAATTATTTATTTAATTATTATTTTTATGAATTATTTTTTATATAATTTTTTAATCAAATTCCTCGATAAATGTAATTATTCTTAAAAATTTTATTAAAATTTGTCAAACGAATTCAATTATTTAAAATTTAATTGATATAATATTCTTTATTAGAATTCAATTTTAACAAACATTAAATTATTCAATAAATTATTTATTTTGTACAATTTAAATAATTGAATTTTTTTGAATTTTCTAATAAAAGATGATTTAAAAATGAATAAACGAATAATCGATTTATTATTATTTATAAAAAAAATTGAATTATTGCAACGAATTTTATTACATTTTTTTTAAATAATTCAATTTTTTTGTGAAATTGTACTTCTTGTAAAAATAATTGAATTCTTGCGAAGGATTTTTTAAGGATTTTTGTAAATAATTAACTTATTTTAAAAAATTTTATGGCAATTTAAATTATTACAAAACATGAAGAAGACGATCACACCGAGTCTTCTTCATGTTTTGTAATAATATTCTTATAAGTTGTTAAATTTAAAAAAGGTTTAAATTTGAATATTTTGAAGAATTTTTATTCCTACTGAAAAATAATAATGATTAAATATTTATTTAAGAAAGAAGTTATTGATGTTTTTAATTAATTTTACGTTTGAAGAAATTCCTAAATAAATGTAATAGAACATTTTTTCTGGATATCTAATAATTTTTAGAGTGAATCAGAATATTCTTTAGGGTCAGGGAAAAAATGTGAAATTTTTTTATGGAAATCAGGGAAAAGTCAGAGAAAAATAAAATTAAATATTTGTGACAACCCTGATTATATTATGATTATTATTTATTTAACATTTAAAAATTAATAATAATACACTAAAAAAGGGGCGCGTTGCAGCACATTTTGGAGTAATGTTGCGCGACTCAATCCTGTGTTCTGCTAGACACTTACAGGGCATGCAACATTCCCCAAAAAGCGTATAATACACTTTAAATACAGCTCGCTTCGACTCAGGGGAATAATAATAATAATAATAATAATAATAATAATAATAATAATAATAATAATAATAATAATAATAATAATAATAATAATAATAATAATAATAATTAAATTTTGTTTTTCAGAGTTAAACAGATACGAAGCGGAAAAAGAAGACGCCTTCAATGAGGTAAAAATTGTCGGCGCAAAAATCATTTAATTGAAAAAAGAAATAAGCACACTCTACAATAAAAAAAAAAAATCTATGGGAAAGGGGGACTTATTTAAAAAAAAAAATTTCTAATATTGAACATGAACTTTATTGAATTAGAAATTGTAAATAAAAATTTTTTGTGCATTATTTTAAACAGAAAAAATTATATTTTTTTATGTAAAGAAAATTTTTAAATGATGGAAATATTTTGCTCAAATTATTAAAAATGGCTTTAAAAGTCAAAATAAAAATATTATTTAATAACAAGAAAAAAAAATTTGAGCATTAAATGCTTAAAAAAATTAAGATTAAACCTTTAAAAATATGTAACTTCAATGAGATTAAAAAAACCTTTTTTAATTTAAATTATCAAGTTAAAAGTATAATATAATAAATTAAAAAATAACAAATCAATTATCAATTTTTAATTGAATACAAATTTTATAAAAGCAAAATATTTCTACCATTTTAATTTTCATACGTAATACACAAAAAATTTTTATTTTTTAATATGGATTAAAACATTGTAAGAAAAATTTAATGTAAAAGTAATAATTTTTATTTATAAATAAATAATTTATTCAATATAATTTAATGTTTCTTAAAACTGTACTAAAAATAATTGAAACTATGCGATGAGTTTTATTAATATTAATAGGGAAATAATTGAATTCCTATTAAAAAGAATTTTATTAATAATAAAAATAATTGAATTATTGTGAAGAAATGTATAATAAATTTATAAATAATTGAATTCCAGTAGAATTTTTAATATCTTTATAAAAATAATTAAATGTTTGCGCAGAATGTTGTTATTAATTAAAAAAATTTTTAACAAAATTCCACGCGAACATTTAATTATTTTTTTGGAAAATTTTATTAAAATGTTAATAAAATTTTGAAGCGCAATTTTATTATTTATAAAGATAATTGAAATTTTGACAAGATTTTTTAACAATTGTTTAACATAATTGAATTTTTAGGACAAATTTGATCACTTTAAAAAATAATTGAATATCTGATATTATTTTTAACTTTTCTAAAAAAAATTTAATTATTTTAGTGTTTTAAACTAAAATTCATATTTAAATATATTTTTTATTCATATTTAATAATTAATTAAATACAATTAAATTTGTAATAAAAATATAATTGCAATTTTGCGTTAATTTTTTTTATTTCTCGAAAATATAAATACTTTAAAATTTCAAATGTAATTAAAAATTAAAATTTTATAAAATTTAGTATTAAAACTTTTTGAAGTTCGCCTACACACTAAAAACAGTCTTACTTTCAGCCTATTATCAAGGCTGTTTTTAAGATGTAAACGGAGTCAGACCCGTTAAACAAGGACAGATTAATGTGAAATACATGGGCTGAATTTAAGGTGTAAACGGAGTTATACTTTCTTTTTCCTGTCCATTTATAAAAAACATAAACGACACTCTTTTAAAATTGAATTAAAAAAAAGTTATATAAATTTAAAAATTTTAACATTACATTGACTATACTGACTATACTAAGACTATAAGGGCGAGTTTCTCGTCTAAAATAAAAACGTCCGCCATAGCTCATTAGTGCGAGAGAGAGACTTCTAGGTTCTCACCATTTCGCACAAGATATTGCACTTTGCAAAAATCCTCACAATTTTTTTTGTATTCTCTATAACTAAATAAAGAAATTATTAATACAAAATTTTTGATTTCCAGCCGGTCTTCTTTGACTTTTTTGGCTATGAAGTTTTGATATGAAACGGTGAGAAAATACACGGAAAAAAAGAAATTAGCTGCAGCAGTAAACAAATCTTTGCTGTAAAATCTCTGAAAATTAGCTACCACAGCTAAGAAGTTTGCAGTGGCAGCGAACATGTTAGCTGTGACAGCAAACGTTAATAAAAATTTAGTCGAGTTTGCTGTCATAGCGAAATTGTTTGATCTCACAGCGAACTTGTTCGCTGTCCCTATTTCAACGAACAAGGTTTGCTGTGGCAGCAAAATGTTCGCTGCCACAGCAAACCATTTCTATGCGTGTAGCTTTTTCACCGTTCATTATAGGTTATAAAGTTTTGCAATGGTTCTAATAATTTTTTTGTATTGTTTATAAGTAAGTAAACAAATTTTTTATACAAAATTTTTAATTTCCAGCCGGTATTCTTTGACTTTTTTAATTTTGAAAATTGACAAAATTGAGTTTTTACCGTTCAGGAGCAGTTTTTTTGAGAAATCTCAAAATTTTGACCTCGCCGAAGGTTCTCAAATTTTTTTTGTATTCATTATAACAAAATAAACAAATTGTTTATACAAAATTTTTAATTTCCAGCCGGTGTTCTTTGGCTTTTTTAATTTTGAAAATTGACAAAATTGAGTTTTTACCGTTCAGGAGCAGTTTTTTTGAGAAATCTCAAAATTTTGACCTCGCCGAAGGTTCTCAAATTTTTTTTGTATTCTTTATAAAAAAATAAACAAATTTTTATAACAAAATTTTTAATTTGCAGCCGGTGTTCTTTGACTTTTTTGGCTTTGAAGTTTTGATATGAAACGGTAAGAAAATAGCTTTTTCACCGTTCATTATAGGTTATGATCTTTTGCTAAGGTTCTAATAATTTTTTTTGTATTCTTTATAAATAAATAAACAAATTTTTATTACAAAATTTTTAATTTCCAGCCGGTCTTCTTTGACTTTTTTTATTTTGAAAATTGACAAAATTGAGTTTTTACCGTTCAGGACCAGTTTTTTTGAGAAATCTCAAAATTTTTACCTCGCCGAAGGTTCTCAAATTTTTTTTGTATTCATTATAACAAAATAAACAAATTGTTTATACAAAATTTTTAATTTCCAGCCGGTGTTCTTTGGCTTTTTTGGCTTTGAAAATTGACAAATTTGAGTTTTTAACGTTCAGGACCAGTTTTTTTGAAAATTCTCAAAATTTTGACCTAGCCAAAGGTTCTCAAATTTTTTTTGTATTCTTTATAAATAAATAAACAAAGTTTTATAACAAAATTTTTAATTTGCAGCCGGTGTTCTTTGGCTTTTTTAATTTTGAAAATTGACAAAATTGAGTTTTTACCGTTCAGGACCAGTTTTTTGAAAATTCTCAAAATTTTGACCTCGCCGAAGGTTCTCAAATTTTTTTTGTTTTCTTTATAAATAAATAAACAAATTGTTTATGCAAAATTTTTAATTACCAGCCGGTGTTCTTTGACTTTTTTGGCTTTTAAGTTTTGATATGAAACGGTGAGAAAATAGCTTTTTCACCGTTCATTATAGGTTATGATCTTTTGCTAAGGTTCTAATAATTTTTTTTGTATTCTTTATAAATAAATAAACAAATTTTTATTACAAAATTTTTAATTTCCAGCCGGTGTTCTTTGGCTTTTTTAATTTTGAAAATTGACAAAATTGAGTTTTTACCGTTCAGGACCAGTTTTTTGAAAATTCTCAAAATTTTGACCTCGCCGAAGGTTCTCAAATTTTTTTTGTATTCATTATAACAAAATAAACAAATTGTTTATACAAAATTTTTAATTTCCAGCCGGTGTTCTTTGGCTTTTTTAATTTTGAAAATTGACAAAATTGAGTTTTTACCGTTCAGGAGCAGTTTTTTTGAGAAATCTCAAAATTTTGACCTCGCCGAAGGTTCTCAAATTTTTTTTGTATTCTTTATAAAAAAATAAACAAATTTTTATAACAAAATTTTTAATTTGCAGCCGGTGTTCTTTGACTTTTTTGGCTTTGAAGTTTTGATATGAAACGGTAAGAAAATAGCTTTTTCACCGTTCATTATAGGTTATGATCTTTTGCTAAGGTTCTAATAATTTTTTTTGTATTCTTTATAAATAAATAAACAAATTTTTATTACAAAATTTTTAATTTCCAGCCGGTCTTCTTTGACTTTTTTTATTTTGAAAATTGACAAAATTGAGTTTTTACCGTTCAGGACCAGTTTTTTTGAGAAATCTCAAAATTTTTACCTCGCCGAAGGTTCTCAAATTTTTTTTGTATTCATTATAACAAAATAAACAAATTGTTTATACAAAATTTTTAATTTCCAGCCGGTGTTCTTTGGCTTTTTTGGCTTTGAAAATTGACAAATTTGAGTTTTTAACGTTCAGGACCAGTTTTTTTTGAAAATTCTCAAAATTTTGACCTCGCCAAAGGTTCTCAAATTTTTTTTGTATTCTTTATAAATAAATAAACAAAGTTTTATAACAAAATTTTTAATTTGCAGCCGGTGTTCTTTGGCTTTTTTAATTTTGAAAATTGACAAAATTGAGTTTTTACCGTTCAGGACCAGTTTTTTGAAAATTCTCAAAATTTTGACCTCGCCGAAGGTTCTCAAATTTTTTTTGTTTTCTTTATAAATAAATAAACAAATTGTTTATGCAAAATTTTTAATTACCAGCCGGTGTTCTTTGACTTTTTTGGCTTTTAAGTTTTGATATGAAACGGTGAGAAAATAGCTTTTTCACCGTTCATTATAGGTTATGATCTTTTGCTAAGGTTCTAATAATTTTTTTGTATTCTTTATAAATAAATAAACAAATTTTTATTACAAAATTTTTAATTTCCAGCCGGTGTTCTTTGGCTTTTTTAATTTTGAAAATTGACAAAATTGAGTTTTTACCGTTCAGGACCAATTTTTTGAAAATTCTCAAAATTTTGACCTCGCCGAAGGTTCTCAAATTTTTTTTGTATTCATTATAACAAAATAAACAAATTGTTTATACAAAATTTTTAATTTCCAACCGGTGTTCTTTGGCTTTTTTAATTTTGAAAATTGACAAAATTGAGTTTTTACCGTTCAGGAGCAGTTTTTTTGAGAAATCTCAAAATTTTGACCTCGCCGAAGGTTCTCAAATTTTTTTTCTATTCTTTATAACAAAATAAACAAATTGTTTATACAAAATTTTTAATTTCCAGCCGGTGTTCATTGACTTTTTTAATTTTGAAAATTGACAAAATTGAGTTTTTACCGTTCAGGACCAGTTTTTTTGAAAATTCTCAAAATTTTGACCTCGCCGAAGTTTGTCAAATTTTTTTTGTTTTCTTTATAAATAAATAAACAAATTGTTTATGCAAAATTTTTAATTACCAGCCGGTGTTCTTTGACTTTTTGTTTTGTTTTGATATGAAACTGTGAGAAAATAGCTTTTTCACCGTTCATTATAGGTTATGATCTTTTGCTAAGGTTCTAATAATTTTTTTT